GTTGAGAGTGGAGATTGGGTGACTGTAACAAGCGAGAGGCAGAGGAGAGACAGCGAGAGAGCACACACACAACTCACTCACTCGACACGACTGATGGACTCAACGGACGCAAACAAAGTAGCGGAGTTACAAAGTCGAAGTCTTCAATTCTCGATGCCGGAGGGGCGCGTCACACAAAGCAAGCACAGTAGCTGCAAACTGGTTGCCCGATGGTACGGGCGGCCGATGTATATATCGGTTGGCCGTGCCAAATGGGGACCGGGTCTCCAAGGCCCTGGGCACGAAACAAAAAAACAGGGATTTTGGGAGTGGTGCGAAAACCTGGCTGCTGTGATGACCTGCCGAACATGGACTGAGACACACAGCTGATTTCTGAGTTTTGCTCATGGACTGAATGCCTTGCTGAGTTTCCCGATTGCTACTGAGTTCTCTAAGTCTGTGTGTGTGCACGTTTGCTGGTCTGCATGTCTGTCTGAGTGCTTGTCGGCTTGTGTGTGTGTGACCCGCAAGGGCACTCGTTCGTTCATTGGGCCCACAGGGCCGGTACTTAGCTGTGTCCATGACATTGAGGATTGCAGCGGGAAAAACACTCAAGTGGCGGGGAAAGGCCCGCAAAACTTGAAGCAGCGGGGAAACACTCACGTAGCAGGTAGGCCGGTACCACACCCTGTATAGGTAGATGTGTCGGGTACTCGAGGCCGAGCAGAAGAAGACAAAAGTTGGCATTTTTTGAGGCCCAGTAGTTGCAGGGTAGGTCTATACGGGTACCAGTCCAACCAGTCTGAGTTTAGGGCCTACGGGCAATATCAGAGTCTGCAATGATGTTTCCCTCCGAAAGGGAGGAGGTACCGGTTGCTTGGAAGGCCGAGTGGCCTGGAAGTCACCGCCCAATAGGCAAATAGGCAAGTCACTGCCCAATATCTCCAGGCCGAGCAAATAGCCTGGCCTCATTGTCGGTGTGCAAGTTTGGTGACACACTGGTTGGAGCGCTGGCTGAAGCAGTGCTAGCAAGGAGCAGCGCTGCTGGGGAGAACCAAGGACAACAGGAGGAAGAAGACCAGGACAGGAGGGAGGAGCGCCAGAGGTACTTGCCTGGCTATGGTGGATGCCATCCTCATCACCTTGGTGGGCGCTGCAGCAGGAAGGCCCCAGTTGGGGTAGAGCTACACCAAGAAGCTTTGAGGCAGAGTCAGACATGGCGGTGTGAGCTGGAGCAGCCATAGCTGCTTTGTGTTGTCCTTTGGGCATCAGGGCAGGGCCCTAGCAGTCTGCCATAGCCTCGGCCTTGGACAAAAGAAGAGGAAGGGTGGTCATGGCTATGGTGGACCTCAAGTGATACCTGCAGTAGAAGAGGGATTCGGACATTGATTCTGGTTCACCCATTCAACATTGTATTATTATTTCTTGTGTGAACAAGAGAGGAGGAGATAAGGAGGATAAGAGTGATTAGTCAAGAAGAAGAGCATTCTCATTGGTCTATGCTGGTGTACATCATCTTCTTCTTCTTTCTTTCTACTTCTTCTTCTTCCAGCCCTCTCTCTCCTCTCAAGTTCATTCATTTCTTTTTGCAAGTGGACGGCATTGTACTATCTGATGAATGTGTATTTCGAAATTGGCCAGGATCATAACACTGCAGCAGAAAACAGTGAAAAGGCTGCAGGCGGGCTTGTGGCCCGCAGACCAGGGATCGAGCCCTGGCCGGTTCGTAACAGTGACACTGAACCACAGATGGACATTGGGAAGAGATATTGGGGGAGACTAGGTGGAGACTTCACGAGTGATATTTGAGTTGACAACATCTCCATTCCTCCTCCTTGTTCATCTCTTTCCCCTCCTCTTCATCTGTGGATGTTTGCTTGTCCGGCGCCCTTCGTCTGTGTATTGGGCACCAGGACCCCTCTCACCCTGTCTGATGATGATGAGTGTGATGCAGTCAGGCCATGTCAGTCTTCCACTGCGCTATTTGTGCTCTACTCTTCAGATCGGTTCTCGATTCTGATAATGAGCAGACTGAGCACTGTAATAGTGCTGCAATGTTTACATTTACTATGCCACTTTCTTCAGTTCTGTAGTGTTCCATTTGTTTCGTGCTCTTTGACTTGAGATGCAGGAATATCTGAGGAAAGTATGATTCTGTTGACATTGATGGTTGCAATAATTCAGAAACAATATGGGCTCCTGCTAGAGCTGTTGGCAGATGAAGTACCGAGTGTGCGCGTAGCTGCTGTGACCGGTGTTTGCTCAATCCTCAGGCAGATGTGGGAGCTAGTCCCGACTGATACAACACTGAAGTTCCTGAAAGTTCTGGTGAGCTGAACCTCCTACTTTATCCACACTCCTTTCCTCCTTTGTCCAAACTCCTTTTCCATTTACTGTGCCGATCTCAGAGCTTGATAAAGAGCGCTTCCCAACCATATTAAACCATACTTATTCTTGATGAGCTGCTGGCAACATGTGCATGTGTTCTCTGTGCTCTCTGCACTGGTGCTCTGGCAAAACTTGTTCTGAACTTTTCATCGCGAAAAGGAAAGGCAACAGGAATTACACCTAGGAGGTCTGGTGAAGATATCAAACGAGCATTCCCTGTGGGGGCAGAAGCCCGCACAAACATGGGATGGGGGGGAAGTATTAGTGCGTGGAGTCGGTGTCTGTAGAGTCTGTGTGCACTCCATTGACTCCACACATTAATAATCCCCCCCCCTATCCCAGAGGCCCGTACAGGGAAAGCTAGTTTGATATCTTCACCAGACCTCCTAGGTGCAATTCCTGCTGACTTTTCTTTTGGTGATGAGAACAAATTTTGCTTTCCTTGAAACGGTATTCACCTGTTAGCAGTTCATATGGAAAAATAGATGCGACATCACCTTCGACAACCGACTTACCACCCCAGACAACCCACTCGTCATTATCAAGAACCTAATAGACACCGAAATCCACGCCCTCTGGAAAAAACAACAAATAAACTCCCAACCGACCCCGACAAAAGAACCCAAACAATCCAAAAATTCTCATCTAACAAATTAGGCAAAGGGATATTAGGCACCATCTCCAACGATAGACTAAGTCTTAAAAACTGGCTAACCATAACAAATATATAAAACCCCTCTATACCCCCACTATAACACACACCATCAACCCCAACCCCCCCCCCCACTACCAATCCATTACAGACCTAACAGAGA